GTCGAAAAAAATTGGATTTATGAAAAGGACATGTAAACATCTAAGTAGAAGATATAAAATTATGGTTTACAGATCAATTATTGAGCCACATTTTATATACTGCCCCACTATCCTGTTTATAACACCTGAGTCGTATATAGAGAGACTACAAAAAATGCAAAATAGAGCTATGAGGCACATACTTAACGCCCGATACGATACCAGCATTTCATCAATGCTGAACAATTTAAACTGGGTAAATGTGAAACAACTAATCTTTTTCCATACAATTAATTTTATTTATAATATAAAGAATGGAACCCTTCCGACGTACTTGAGTGATAACTTTAGGTACAGCAGTGACACTCACACCTATGAAGCCAGATTCAGGGATAACTTTAAACTTCCATTTGGCAGACGGAAAATCAAAAGAGTGATTTGTACTATAAAGGTTTAAAAATGTTTAACGAACTGCCCGTAGATATGAGAAGCTACAATAGCTTACAAAAATTCAAAAGTTTATTATACGAGCATTGCAAAAAACACATATAAGATTGCCATTGGGCCTCCCCATTCTAACAAGATACTAGCATATGAGAGACGTTACGAGCATGGATCGGAAACCCGGCCTTTCCGACCATGCCCAACAGCTCGTTCGTAGTACGGAGCGGAAACTAGAGCTTTCCGCCCGTTTCACAGCAACATAATTATGAAAAGAACATGGATCGGAAACTCGGCTTTTCCGACCATGGTAAACGCCTTTATTGACGCAGAGCGGAAAGTAGGTCTTTACGCCTGCTGAACATAAAAATAGACTGGAGACTAGGCCTCGCCAGCTATCCAACCCGAGGCTATAATATACGTACAATAATTAATTAATTGTACAATAAATTAATATGTATAAATGTACTTACTGTACATACTTTATGTATTTGAAAATAAGTAAAAATTAGTAAAGAAAATATGAAAAATGTTAATGTATAGTATTAGTAGAAGAGCAATCAATTACATTAAATATCTAATAATGTAATTGACGAGATTTTTATAGGTCTTAAAGACTGTCAATAAATAAATAAATAAAGATAAAGAATGAACCTAATACATCCCAAATGAACAAAAACAAATATATACGTGTTATACCATGTCCCCACCAAAAAGTTAACCATCTCAAATCGAACTT